CAGAACAGGCAGAACTGTGGTCCACTGCTGAGGTCAGGAGAGGTCTGCCATGCCATGTGGATCACCCCCGGGGTGGGGAACTTGCACCTAAGTGCAAGCTAGCTTGCAGTGCTGTGTCCTTACCTGTTGTGCCAGCAGGGAGGACCCTCTGTCTGCAACTTCTAAAGAACGGTATAGGATCTACAAATTATCTGTTGGGTAGAAAATGATAGGATTTTTTTCAAAAAAATATGCGTATTAATATGCCCTAAGATATGCATGTAATTTATTAAAATTCATGTGTATATTAGTGTCTGTGCATAAAATATATTTACAGATGGGGTAGGTAACTGAAAGTGATAATCTCTAAATATTTTATATTACCGTGAGCAACCGAAGAGTTAAAACAAGGGTTACACATACAGAGTGATAGTAAGAAAAACTGAATATGTAAAAATTTAAGTGGAATGGTAAGGGAAATCTGTGAAAGAAGCTATTTGTCCAGACTAAGGCAGCTTAGTCCTGTGTGAGTGTGGTGCACTGAATAGAATAACCTACCAGTTTTAGTGTTTCATTGTGGGGAGAGAACAAAAAATGAACAGCAAGAATGTCTGCTGTGTTGATTAGAATAGGTAAGTTCAAAATGGGGTTTATTTAATAAAAGATAATGAGTTCATTTTAGTTAAGCTGAAGTAGACATGTTAGCCAAATACCCAAATGTAAATGTGTAGCAGACATTTAGGACTACAGATCTTCCAAGTTTCAGATTAGATTTGGAAGGTATGACTATAAAATGAACATGTGTCAAAGATTTATTTATTCAATTCATTAGCTATAGACATCACAGCCAGTTCAACAGATTAGAAATACAGCACATTGAAAGTTAAAGCATTGAAATGAATTTACAAATGCAAACAAGCTGGACAGTATCCAAAGGGTGATGGTGACATTCTACAGGAAACTATTTTTATAAATGGAATTATTTGTGGTTACTGTAACCTTTTGAAGGTTAACTGATGCCGATCTCTACAGATTTGTAAAATAACAGAACAAAAATGGATGTAACCTGAATGGAGGGCTAGCCAGGACACCCACAAAGCCTCAGATTTTCACCATTTCTTCTTAATTTAGTAAAATTTTAAAATTAACTGATGTGGTCTTGGGTGATAGAGGCTTTAAGTTCCTCTTTATTTAGATAAAATTGATTTAAAATCAAGCATTTTCAGATCATATTTCCTTGATATAATACATGAATACAGATCACCAATCAGATAATCAGCTATTTTCAAAAATTATAAATACCAGCACACTGCTTTTTTTCTTGTGCACATGAATGCTGAATGGATGATTAACAGAAAGTTACTAGGATTCTTTTTTCCCTGAGTTTAGATCTCTATAAATCATGACTGTTAAAAAATTATTTACAAATAGATAAAATCGTGACTCTCAGAAAATGAACATAAGTGAATATTGTAACTTCTCAGAGACTCAGGAAAAATTAAAGAGAAACAAATTTATATGGTTATGAAGAAAGCAAAATGAATCTGCTTCATAGATGTAAACTTCTTCCACAGAGAGGACATCAGTCGAGCCTCCATAAGACTGTTTATTCAAATACTGTTTCTTTGCATTGCTGTCACTCTAATGCAGTTAACTTTGGTCTCTACAGAGTTGTAAAATAAATATAGGTACAAAACTCATGGAATCAAGTGCATGGAAAGATGTGTCTAAACAATTCATGGTTTTTCTTTAAAGACACTTGTAGCAATTTTTGATTTTGAAATCCTTCACAATTTATCTCTACATAGCTAATATTGAAGGTAAATGTTAGCTAAAGACATTAAAACCTGTATTTTGTGCCGTAAATGATAGTATGAAGAAAATACCTGACTGAATTAGCCCAAAACCACAAAAAGAAAAGCCATTAAAATCAATAGCATTTAACTTTGTTGAGACAGGTAGAAAGTGATATTTTTTAAAAGATGTTTAAAGACAGAAATAAATTTTCTGTCTTTATAAATGATGAAAATTGTATGTGTATTAATTTTAGATAATTATTTAATATTGTCGGTTAAAATCTCAACATGTTTAAAACATTTACATAAAGGCTATATGAAACAATATATCTGGTAACTTGATAATCTCATAATAGATTTGTTTAGTAACTTAGAGTATATATTTCAGAATACTCAAATTGTATACACCAAAGAAATACAGACTTATTTTGGCACAATGCAGTTTCCCCCTTAAGTTTTCCATTATGACACTAAACTGTCCCATGCATGTACAAGTACTAAAGTACTTTTGAAGTTCTTTTTACTTCAGAATGGAATTTCAGTATTAACCACTGAAAGTGTATGGTGCTAGTATCCATAGTGTATTTTTTTCCCATTCAAATAACGTATTCTTGCTGGTAACGGCTCAGAGTTTTCTCTATTCAGCCAGTGCTTTTATTGTGTTGAACTTGAAGTCCGTGAGAAAACTGAAAGTGGCCTGTTTCTTACATGCCTCACCTAGCGTTGTTAATAGATGACAACATTCCGCTTGGTAGTACCAGTGACACAGGAGGAACTTTTGTTCTCCTACTTGGTAATGATAAAGAAGACAGAAAAAGTCTTTTTATGGTAGTTGGGTCCTCAAAACAACTTTTCATGTTCTGTTGATAAGACGACGCAAATTGGCTCTCCAGCAGAGGTACATTCGCTTGTTATCTGTATCCAGAGCTGATACAGCCTCTTAAATTCCCTCCTAGTGACAGGAGCCTCATGAGGTGAAGGCTTGCAGAGTTAGAGATACCACAACACTGTTCTTCCAGATGAATAGGTTAACCCTGCTTATTGTAGAATACAAATCTCATGTAATTATTAAACAAATACTTAACTTTTTTCCTTCCGTAATTTAAAAAATATTCAGATATGTACTTGGTGATTGCTAGTACTAGAAAGTTAAGTTGATAAGCATTCAGTATGACCATGAAGACAAGAGAGTGACCTAGTCAGTATAGATGCATGAAGACAAGGAAAATGCCCAGAGAATTGGGGCTAGGATTAGATCAACAGCAACAGCATCATGATAAAATCTCTGTGTAGACCTCTCCCATATGCTGTTTCTTGGGCAGTGTGTTAGGTCATAAGAATTCATTGTGTTCTAGTTTTCTGCGTGTTGTTAGTTAACAGCCTCACTGCTGCGAGCACCTTGCAGATTGGCAAGCCACACTTGCTTGGATGGGGGTGGAAGCTTGTCTTCACCCTTTTGTTCTAAATGGGACCTTTTATGGTGAAGTACACTAAAAGTCCATGTGGTTAGGTAGACCTGTAAAATTCAGGCTAGATGACTAATAAGGGGGAATTAATATTTTTTTTTGCTATCTGGTCTTGTTTAGTGCTGTCTTGATGGGGGTTTCAGTCATTATATGTGAGGTTCCTGGAGCATGCCCAGGAATTTGAGAAGATAACATATCTATACCAGTGAGTCTAATGAGCTTATCTAGGACTAGGCTGATAATCAAACTTAGTTGCAAAATTTTAACTTCCTAAAATGACTCTGGGGTTGGCTGAAAAATCAAAAAGTATCAAAACTATATAAGTTATTAATTGCAGTAATACTACCTTAAAATAAGTAAGACCAATGAAGGTTTTTTTTTTTTAAATTAGATACTCTGCAGGTAGGTTAATATTCCATAGCTCTTCAAGCCTATAGTTTTAAATTTATTGCTTTAAACACTGGACAGGTATTTCATAAAACTTTATATTTTTATCCAAAATATGAAGACTAAACTGTCAACATGGTTCAGGGAAAATGCTTTGATGATGCTCAGGAAATTTCTCCAGGAGATCATTTCAGTAGAGTAAATGAAACCATGAGGTACTGTAGAAAGAACTAGCAAACAGGCTGAAGGGGGTGGGGGGGAGCGAATACATACTGAATGACTTTTGATTACAATTTTTTTTAAAGATTTATTTATTCATACAGAACTGGGGTACAGGCCAGAGATGCAGAGGGTGAGAGGATTCACCAAAGACAGAGTGGGGAGCAGAACAGGCAGATCAATGAAGTACACTGCTGAGGGAAGCAACGAATGGGTCAGAAGAGGTCTGCTTCGCCATGTGGATCTCCTCTGGGACAGGCAGGGATCGAACTCATGCGGAAGTGGCTTAAGCTTCTTAGTGATGTGCTTTAACCCGCTGCGCCACCAGGGAGGGCCTGATGACAATTTTTTTAAGAATATGTAAGGTCAATGCTAACACTTAAGTACATAGGAAATAATCTTTATTTTGAATGTAATGGGTATTTAATGTTTTCTACTCCAGAATTAAGTTATATAGGAAAATGATAGTACTTAAGAATTATATTAAGGAATGAAATTTTGGAATATTGTGCTAACTGGTGAATAGGGTAAGTCTCAGGCTAAAAAGAATGTAAACGAAGTCACAGAAGTGGTCAGTTTTATAAATATACTATGATAATTTCTCAAAATCATTATTTTGATACATTGGTGCCTCAGTCCTCACACTGGCGCTACAAAAATCAGGATACAGTCAGGTTAGGGTTGTAACTGTCAGAGCATTTAGTAATTAAATGTTCTCTAGGAAGTTTGGAAAGGAAGAACCAAACAAGTAAATAGTTCTCTCTTACTGTATGCCAGAAAATTAATTTTGCTTATATCTAAGGGCTATCCTTTGTAAAAGTTACATTTGTGAACATTTGAAACTATTTCAGTGGCTCTTGTATAATTCATTCAATCTGTGCTCTCTTAATAAATTTTACAAAAAGCTCATGGCAAGTTAGTGTCATTTGTGTGTGAATTTTCCAATTGTATTTCAGACTTTAAGAAAGAAAGGCCTTAATGGTTGTGAGAGCCCTGATGCTGACGATTACTTTGAGCACAGTCCACTCTCGGAGGACAGATTCAGCAAACTAAATGAAGATAGTGATTTTATTTTCAAACGAGGCCCTGTAAGTACTTTTACTTTACCTCTTCTTTTTATTTGTTGATCCTTTTTGTTAACTTCATTATTTAGGCTCTGAACAAGAAGGAACACAGAGGGTGCGACAGCCCAGACCCTGATACTTCCTATGTGCTAACTCCACATACAGAAGAAAAGTATAAAAAAATTAATGAGGAATTTGATAATATGATGCGGAATCATAAAATCGCAGTGAGTACTAAAGTATGGTTTGTGCTTTATCTTGTGCATGGAGAGATTGCCCACACATTTGTTTATTTTCACAGTGGCTGATTATAACAAGTAGAAATGAGGGTCAGGGAAAGGACATTTCATTAATGTTTTATTTTATAGAATTTGAAAAGTCAGTTGCTGAAATTTTATAATAGTACATGTTAGGTTAAATGTAGAAGTGAAAAAAACAACATGCCAGTGGAGGCTCTGCTATTTACCTTCCGTAGCTTTGATGTTTTAGGCACTAAACCCAGGTGTCCTAGACACCGATTTCCTCGTCTGGAAAGTGAGTTGGCTCTCCTAATTGTTAAGCTCCCTCCTAGCTTTATACTTCCATATTTTTAAATATAAGCTTCATGTGAGTCTCCCCTTTTCCGCGCCTGATTGAGCAAGTATTGTATGTGCTTGAATAGCTCTTGAGAACATAAAATGTAAAGTGGATTCATTATAAAATTTGGTGTTTCTAAATTACTATTTTGTGTGTATGCTGTAATAGTAGCTTACTGTTGGTTCTGTCTAAATGTCCAAACCACTTGTCAGTAATGCCTCGAAATTCCTTCTCTTGGAATATAGGCACTGAGTTCCTCCTTTGGACTCATGCTCTTTTATAGTTGTCACTGGAAGCTTTATTTGCAAGAGTTAAGCTAGCTGCTGGATCTAATTTTCTTCCTTATACCTGATTGTATGCTTTAGGGAACTAATTGACTCCATTGCTGATATTTATTTTATTGTCAGAGTTAATTATCTTAAAACTATGCCCTAAAGTACACATCATTATTTCTTTAAAGTAACCCTATACTAGAAAAGATTTATGAAAATTAAATGTAAAAAGATTTTTTTTTAGTAACATTCTGTTAAAAAAGCAGAGCAAGTCATTCACAGTCATTGTTTTAGATGTTAATGATTTTATTATTTTTCTACTTACAGAGCTATGGAATAAACTATTTTTATTCTTCCAACTATAAGTTAGCAGTGCTACCTTACTTTGCAAATCACTGTTTTAAAAATGTATGGAGAAAAAAGTTAATTTTCTCTCATGTTAAATTATAAAGAGGACCATCATTTATCATGGTTAATAAGTACATTGTAAACGGTCTGTGGAGGAAATGTGAGAGGAAAATAATAAATACTGTTTTAAGGGGTGTACGTAGTATTTGGGAGGGAAGAAAGGTAGCATTTATAATATTTGTAGTTCAATTTTAATGCATTTTTAAAGAAGATACCAAGAAGTTCTTTATTAACTTGTTAATAGTTTTGATGTTTAAATTGTTTCTTTGCATTTTTATTACACTCAAATGAATGCTTATATATATTTTTTTTAATTTTGCCCATTGAGAATGTCATTCAGTTAAATTAGACCAGAGCTTATTTATAATGCCCCATATTTGATGTATGAGATTTATAATATGTGCACATGTTTTTCCTCTTTTGTTATATTTGGAATTTCCAATAGAAATATAAAGTTACTAAGCTGGTTCGCATTAAAATGCTAATTTTTGCTTACTTGGTGATAATGGTATCTTTTGTAATGTCTGAATTGATAACACCATCAGCTATGACTTATAATTTTAATCTTCTATAAATATTTGCTATTGTATTAATATGTTAGTGTATTAGTGTATATATATATATCAGTATATACAAAGGTGAAGTTTAAAAGATTTGTGTTAAACATACTCATCCTCATATGTAATTCTAGAGAGAAATATCATTAATGTGTAAATTCATTCAGTAAGAACTGATTTACTTTGTCAAAGTAAGGTTTGCTAACTTCTTTAATACAAAAGAAAATGAAAGTAACATTTTCTCTTCCTTGCTCTTTATTTACAGCCTGGTTTGCCACCTCAAAACTTCTCGATGTCAGTCACAGTCCCTGTGACCAGCCCTAATGCTTTGTCCTACACTAACCCAGGGAGCTCACTTGTGTCCCCATCTTTGGCAGCCAGCTCAGCACTAGCAGATTCAAGCATGCTCTCTCCACCTCAAGCCACATTACACAGAAACGTGTCCCCTGGAGCCCCACAGAGACCACCCAGTACTGGTAATTCAGGTATGTTCTAGTATCTGTTTTGTTGGTTCTTTTATCCCAAAGGATGAAAGATCCAGTGCTGTAAAAATACTATAAGAATAGTTTCTTTTGCTATTTATAATTTTACTGCTAACATGAGCTCACTTCTACATAACTGATTCCATTTTAAAAAACTTTTTTTTAATGCTATGCCTCTAACATTGTGTCACACATAGTGGAGCAATGAGAACATTGATAAGCGTTTGTTATAGGAAAACCATACTTTGACAGGGAGAAATTTTAATTAGACTATCATGAAGAAAATTAAAACTGCATCTCCTCCGCCTGAAACTGTTCACTAATCCAGCAGAAATATGAACCATTCATACACACACACACACATCCAATTATACATTAATACCAAATTCAGAATGAGCTCAATTTTATTTTTGTTATTTTCCTCTGTTCGATATATAGTCATTCAGATGAAAAGAATCAAGTTGGATTCAGTCTTTGCCCTCTTTTCCCCTCTGCATTGTTGTTAGGTGGGATGTTGAGCACTTCAGACCTCACAGTGCCAAATGGAGCTGGAAGCAGTCCAGTGGGTGAGTAAATTTCTTTTGGATGAATTTTTCAAAGTCCATTGAGATTTTCAGAATCTTTTTTCCATGTCCGTTTAACTGCTGAAATAGATTTTCATTTTAAAACATTAATGACATCATCATCTACAGTTTAGCGTTGAGAGAGCATTTTCCAGCCACTAGGATGCATTTGTTGAGTTCACATGATATTTTGAAAGGTGAAGCTAGATTGATAAAATGAATGACCTGCATATAGCTGTAGGACTGTAAATGAAGTTAACTTTTAAGTTTCTGGAGGCATTGAAATGTAGCTTGTTCAAGAGCTTTTGTGTCAGCATAATTTACCATAAAACCTGAAAACATTTCTGCAGTCACACTCAGTTGCGTTTATTCATTTGGGATTAGGAACTTTATTCCTAAATTTTCAAGATGTGGCAAGATAAGTTATATATTGAAAGTATCTACCTCAGAGACTACCCTCGACAGTACTTCGTTTTTTGTCATAAAAAATGAACTGAGGTAGAAAAGCATCTATGCTAGTTATAAGTCATTGCATGCCACAAAATAACAAAAGGTACAGATGAAATTGTCTTGTTTCAGCCTGGCAAGTTACCAAACGCTTACATCATCCTGTAGTCATTATCTGCTGCAGACTCGTAGCTTCACACTAAGAAATTCCATGCTTTTAAGTCCGCGCCTGCTTTTGTAATTTGATTCTCATGGGTTACAGTGGTACCATATCTAGCTGAAAAGCATCATATACTTCACATGAGGAAAAAGTATGTGTTCTTGAATTACATCTTTGGATCATCTGTAAATTACATCTTTGCTTTATAATGTATTTGAGAGACAATATTGCTTTACACATCAGCTTTGCATGCCAGTCAAGTAAGTATCTTCTAAATATTATCAGAGATTAGGAGTACATCCATACTGTTATAGTTAAGAGAAATGTTATTAATCTGTACGTATTCATGTTAATCTAACATTCTCATGTTGCTGTACAATTTGAAGTTTCTATGAAGCATTCCTATTTTTGAGTAAAATTACTTAATAAGCATTTTATGTCCTCCAGATGACTGGCTTAGCAGCTCCTCTGCCCAACTCATGGATGATCTCTACTCCACAGGGAGGCCTAGTGAGGACATTGTTGGTCTTCTTTTTTTTTTTTTTTTTCAAGCAGAAGACGG